AAGAGACCCTGGCATTTGAGAGGAAAAGTGAGAGTTACATTCAGAGACCTGTAAGAATCCCAGCTTTCACTGAGAACACCATTAATTGAGAGGTCATTGTATGTGAGATGCTTGACTGCTCTAAGCTATCAGGTTTGTTTTTGATATATATTTCACATACAACCATAGGAGTCAGATACTATTTTTTTAACTGTCAATTAAATGGATGAGGCCCTTTCAGATTTGCTTTCCACTGACAGTTGAAAATAAAACTGCCAAAAGTCTACTGTAGGAATCATACACCGATACCACCTACAAAGGTCCAGATGGGTAATGACTGAAGTGACTACCTGAGTCTGTGCCAATCTACAGAGCATGTGCTAAGCCCAAAGTGGTCAGCTACTATTCAGCTCTCACTGAATGCTGGCTTCTGTTTTTAAAAGTCCTTTATGTTGAAGTTCAATTTACACATAGTGAACCGCACAGACCAATGTATAGTTTAATGAGTTTTGCCATGCATTTTAGGCTACTATAAATAAAATTTTTTTGTTATCCCAAATTGTCTCCTGTGTTCCTACAGTCAATCACTGCCATACCCCTAACTCAGGCAACCTCATATCTGATTTCAATCATCATACATTAGTTTTGTCTATTCTGGAACATCTTATAAATAGAATATCCAAATTTTAAAGAGAATTTGAAAATACATTTTAGTGAAAAAAATTTTAAGAACTTTTTATTGTTATTGTTATTTATTTATCTTTAGAGGGGAAGGGAAGGAGAGAGGGAGAGAACTATCAATGTGTGGTTGCCTCTCCTGTGTCCCCTGCTGGGAACTGGCCTGCAACCCAGGCATGTGCCCTAACTGGGAATCGAACCACAATCCTTTGGTTCCTAGTCCCATGCTCAATCCACTAAGCTACACCAGCCAGGGCATGAAAAACATTTTTTAAAGATTGTATTTTTTTATTTTAAAGAAATGGGGAAGGGAGAGAGAAAGAGTGGGAGTAAAACATCAATGTGTGGTTGCCTCTAGCATACCCCATACTGGGGACCTGGCCTGCAACTCAGGCATGTGCCCTGACTTGGAATCAAACTGGTAATGCTTTGGTTCACAGGCTAGTGAAAAAATTTTAATTGTTGGATATCAACATATATTTTTATAAAACAGCCCACCAGCAAGGCAATCACTTTGTGTCTGGTCTACAATATAAAGCAAAAAATATTTTGTATGACTTTATTAATTCCTCTCATAATTGATAGTTTTGAGACTGACCATTTTTGTAGCAACTAGTAGCACATTGTTTAAAATAGAATGGTAAGCCTAACCTTCAGGGCATCAAGAAAGCAATGAGAATGGGAGGCTGAATCCCATTTCATAACCTGCCTTGGGGTAAAATAAATGCCAGGGAAAGGGTGGGTAGAGGCTGATGTAGTGAGAAAAGGATAGTTGGGGAACATTTAGAAGACATAACAAAGAAGAAACAAAGAACACGGGGTTGCTGCTACTTTGACAACACTGTACAAAACTGATCTTCACATCACCTTACAAGAATCCCACAGGAAAGGCCCTGCAAGATCCTATGTGATCTTCAGCACCCACCCAAACTCCTGCCCCACCCACAGCCTTGCCCATCTACGTTGATTTCATTTCTTTCTGCCTCCTGCCTTGTCACTCTGTTCCAGCCACCAAACCCTCTGGCTGTTTTGTGGACATGCCAGGCACGTATCTGCCTCAGGGATGTGTGTTGGCTAGAAGCTCCACTCCCAGATAGCTTTGTAAGTTTTTTTCATCACCTTTAAGTCTATGCTCAAGATCATTTTTTCATGTCACCTTATTTTAAATATTACCCAGCCAACTCCCTCACTATCTTCTTTCAAGCTTTTCATTTCTCTATAGCACTCATCACCATATAACCCACATTGTGTTTTGCTTCTTTATTTTCTGTATTCCTTCCTCCCTGCATGAGACTTAAGCTACCTGAGCATAGGTACATAGTAGGAATTCATTAGACATTTGTTTAACAAATGAGTGAATCAAGGAAGAAAAGAAAAAAGAGGAATTCTGGCTAAAACAGAGGTATGGGTAGATACGCTTTGTCTCTTCACACAACCAAATGAAGGAAACAACCAGTTTTAAAACAAAACCAATGGTAACTGCTAGAAAATCAAACTGGGAAGTTGGACAACCAAGGAGTAAAGAGGAAACATTCACTGAGACTGGCAGGAGGGGCAGAGAGAGGCAGCTGGGGTGAAGAGGACTCATGGCAAGGTGATGGCTGGCCAACTGGGTGGTTCCATATTTGCCTGTGGACAAACCAGGAGGAACAATTGGGGAGTGAGAGAGATCACACAACTTATGGCTTCAGTGTGAGGAAAATAAAGCCTCATAACCTCTGGCTATAAAAATCTATGGGGGTTGTACAGCAGGAGAAACTGCCAGTCTCTTGAAAACAGGGCAAGAGCCAAGCAAGTGGCATTGTCTCCTCTCTGACCCCTTCCCCACATATAGCACCACAACAGCAGTGAAGTGGGTTGCTCCGCTTTGGCAAATACCTAAGGCTCCACCCCTTATAACATAACAGGTATGCCCTCCTTGCCATATATATATATATATATATATATATATATATATATATATATATATGGCCCAAATGAAAGAATGGATCAAATTCCAGAAAAAAAACTATGTGATGAGGAGATAGCCAACCTATAACATGCAGAGTTCAAAACACTGGCAATCAGGATGCTCACAGAATTGGTTGAGTATGGTCACAAAGTAAAGGAAGATGTGAAGGCTATGCAAAGTGAAATAAAGAAAAATATATAGGGAACCAGCAGTAAAGGAAGGAAAATGGGACTCAAATCAATGATTTGGAACAAAAGCAAGAAATAAACATTCAACTGGAACAGAATGAAGAAACAATTCAAAAAAATGAGGAGAGGCAGAGGAACCTTTGGGACAACTTTAAATGCTCCAACATCTGAAATATAGGGGTGCCAGAAGAAGAGGAAGAGCAATAAATCAAAAACTTATTTGAGATAATAATGAAAGAAAACTTCCCTAATCTGGTGAAGAAAATAGACATACAAGTCCAGGAAGCTCAGAATCCCAAAGAAGATGGACCCAAAGAGGAATAGACAAGACACATCATAATTAAGTTGCCAATGATTAAAGATAAGGAGAGAATCTTAAAAGCAACAAAAGAAAAGGAGACAGTTCCCTACAAAGGAGTGCCCATAAGATTATCAGCTGATTTCTCAAAAGTAACCTTGCAGGCAAGAAGGGGTTGGAAAGAAATATTTAAAGTCATGAAAGGCAAGGACCTATATCCAAGATTACTCTATCCAGCAGAGCTATCATTTAGAATGGAAGGGCAGATAAAGTGCTTCCCAGATAAGGTCAAGTTAAAGGAGTTCATCATCCCCAAGCCCTTATTACATGAAATGTTGAAGGGACTTATCTAAAAATAGTCAAAGCTATAAACAGTAAAATGACAACAAAGTCACAACTGTCAACAACTGACCCTAGAAAGACAAAAACAAACCAAGCAAACAACTAGAACAGGAACAGAATCACAGAAATGGAGATCACATGGAGGGTTATCAGTGGGGAGGTGGAGAGGGTAGAATGGGGGAAAGGTACAGGGAATAAGAAGCATAATTGGTAGGTACAAAACATACAGGGGGAAATTAAGTATAGTGTAGAAAATGGACAAGTCAAACAACTTATATGTATGATTCATGGACATGAACTAAGGGCGGGGAATGCTGGAGGAAAAGGGAGTACTGGGTAGAGGGGTATAAAGAGGAGAAAAATAATGGGACAACTGTAATAGCATAATCAATAAAATATACTTTCAAATGTTCAGAATAAATAATAAAAGAAGAAAGAAATGAAAAGCTTTCTAGCTTTGGAGATGGTTGTTAAAATGTTCAACAAAATAGACTAGTTAAGAAAATTTTATCATTTCTTTTTTTAAAGATTTTATTTATTTATCTTTAGAGGGGAAGGGAAGGAGAGAGGGAGAGAAATATTAATGTATGGTTGCCTCTCGTACATCCCCTGCTGGGAACTGGCTTGCAACCCAGGCATGTGCCCTGACTGGGAATCGAACCACGATCCTTTTATTTACAGGCCTGCACTCAATTCACTGAGCTACACCAGCCAGGGCATCATTTCTTATTATATTCCAACATTTAATTGCTTTGGGACAGTAAACACTTAAGGGACCAATATTAAAGACCAGAACAACCCTGACTATACTTATTATCTTCAAAATATTAGATTTATGAGAGGATAAATGCATATACAATATGTAAACACATGACTGGGCATTTGACGCTAATGATAATTTTTTTCATTAGATTTAAAGTTATGATGACAAACCATCTTTTCCTAGTATATTTATTCCTACCTTAATTCATTTTAAGAAATAGGTAAAGAATAACTTCCAAAAGAACAAAACAGTATGTGGCCAATGTTACTAAATCTTTGGAACAATGATTAGCAATAAACACATGAAATGAACCAAATAGTAGAAAAAATTTGTTAATGGCAGTGAGCATAACCAGCTCTAGGTCGATGGAGAGGTGGGGGCTGAGCGGGTCCTGTAATTCTCTACTAGATTTTTGACACAAGGTAAGGGCAGTTCTTCTGAGACACCAAAGTTAAAGAACTCCAGTGCCAGTAACTTTCCACTCCAGAAAGAAATATTCCCCAATGTAAGACATTATTTAGAATTAAATCAGACTCTGGAATTGGTCAATGCTGGATTAGAACACCTATATTCAGGTTGCCCCATGGAGACACCATTCCATGCACCATGTATGGAAGACCGCAGAGAACTCAAAGGAATCAGTAGCCAGAAGCCCACATTTACCAACACCTAGCACGTGGGATGAAATGATTTGCTTAAATTTTAGAAAACTTGAGAATAAACCCGTAGCATTTTTCAAACCAAGCAGAGACAAAACAAAGAAATTAAACGCAGCTCCTTGTAATGCACAGGCCTTCTTACCCTTGTTCTATGTTTCCTCCTTAATGCCTTGCCATGTTTTGTGAACTCATGTCCATCTCTCTTTGACTGATCTGACAGTCACACACACACTGTTTTTTTTCTTCTTCTAGGTTTTTTGGATGAGAAAAAAAGAGTAGGATAAACAAATAAATTTCATGGATTACAATTTAGTAAGTTATACCTTTAAATCTAAGAATAATTTTCAAAGTGTGAATATCTGCAGAATTTACAATGTATTGGCGACAAAATTAGGTCCCAACAAATGATCAAAGTAAACAATGTGCTTTTTTCCTATCCCAGTTCTGGTAACTCAATAGTCCACAACTACTTGAGAAGGTGTGAGGATCATTTTTTTTTATCTCAGTTTGGACACAGAAGCTCACATTTCAGCACTGATCAAGGTGATCATCCTTATCCCTTGCCGACACCTTTCTCCTCCACCCCCAACAAGTCACAGATCACCTCTAGGAGAAAATTTCAATAAGCTATTAAACACTGGTCACAACACAGAGAGAAGACACATAATCATCTCTGGGGACCTTTAGGAACAATTAATCATCTTAGATAGGCAAAGTTGCACCTGATTCAGTCCATCAAAATGTACTAGTTGCTGAAAACTTGCAAAACATTGTGGGAGTACTAGACTGATGATGAGTCACAGCACTTTCCTTGAATAAACAGAAATTAATTTGGACTGCTTTTTAGAAAGGCGTGTTTAGGCTTGGTTACCATTAAGTGTGTGTAATAAGAATTTTGTGGGCTGGCTTTCTGTCTTTAAGTGACACAGCCTTAGAATCAGTTAGTAATGATTATTTTCATTAGTAGGTCTTAATCTTGGCTGGGCATTAGTGTTTTCTGGGTATTGTGTTCAGGGGATGGGGGCTTTTAAAAAATAGAGATGTTTTGGCCTGCCCCTGTCCAATTAAATCAGAATCTCTGACACAGTTTTTTTTTTTTTTTAAATAAACTGTCCAGGTGATTCAACTTCATTAAGAACCATTAATCCTATATTGCAACCTTATTTTATATGTTCCAATTTTAACATCCGTATAAAAATTAAGGTCCAAAGAATTTAACTTGTAGCTTGCCCAAGATCACAAACCTAGTTAATGGCAGAGTTTGGGTTGAAGTCATAACTTCCATTAACTTACTCATCTAGTAAATGTCTTTCAATGACATTCTAGCATTGTGACCAGCCACCTAGTTATTACTCAAGAATAAGATAAGTCAAAGCTGGGTCATATCTAAGGGTCAGTAAGGCTGGTCCCGATCCAAGTTAAAAGGGGACAGTAAGCTTTGTGGTTCTGGCATTCTGTCTCTCTCAGTATGATTCAGGTCTCTGGGAATGTTAAGGAATCCTTTCGTCTAGGTACAATCTGTCACTGTTCGTGACCCACTCTCCCATTTTACTAGTTCCAGCAGCCCCTCTGCTTACCCAGATCTAATATGAAGCACAAGGTGGAAGGGGACAGGGTCCCCTGCTGGGCGGTCTGGTGCAGTTCAATAAAACCTTGGTCAGTGGGGATGAGAGCTGGCTCCTAGGCCCTAGGTACAGAAGAAAGGAAAGTTAACCCACAGTTCCTGCTTTGTTTTTTGAAAGAAGTTATGTCCCAAATATTTGTTAACGCTATCCATTCGCTCCTAATAACAACAAACTCTATTCCGAGACACAACTACTGTTATCACAGTGGTTACATTAAAATGCTAATTATATAATTAAAGATTATATATATATATATAGCTATAGATACGTCTATTTATAGCTATATATATATTCTTCTTAAAGGTGAACTATGAGGGAGAGAGATCGATTCAAATTTTGGACTCAACCATTCCCAAACTTAGCAATTCATGGCTACAAAAGTTGGCATGTGAGAAACTGTCCTGATGCATGCATCAGTACTAGAAGAAATCATCTCAAAGGCACTTTCCTTGAGTAGAACAACAACAAAAACATCTTGAAAAATGATATTCATAATGGTCAAGATAACAGTTGATCTTTATCAAATAAAAAATAGGACTAATTGAATTTTAGTCCTTTACAAATAATACAATTACTGCTTCCCATTCACAGAATACTTACTCAAAAGACCATTTGAAAGTGAATTAAATTATATGCACTCAGTTTGCCCTTGCTTCATTTCTATTTTCCTCCATTTACCAACTCTCTGATCCTAGTTCTAAAGTGACATCTTATTCCTGGGGACCAGGAATCTTCTGAAACATATGCAACATTTTGAATGGGTGTTTGTGTTTTTTTCCTGGTGATGAAATCCCTAGTTTGGGCCAGATTTTAACAAAGACGTGTCCTCTCCCCAAATCTCCCTAAAATTCAAGGGTGACGTTGGAGAGATGATGTTGGTGGCGCTATCCACAATGAAAGGTTTTATGAAATTGCCCTCTAGAACTATCCTTGAAAAGAAGGATTGGAAGATTTCACGAAATTGGATTTATTCTCCAAAAGGATGGACTTAGATAAAACATAGTTTGGAAAGCACCAGAGGATTAAATTTATTCATGCTGACATTTTCTTCTTCAGTGTAAGATTTCACTAGTTTGGAACCAAAGGAAAAGGAAAACCATCACCTCATTTTTCTTGTTGATTTTGACTTATTAACTCAATGGTAATGCAAATGGTAGGGTAAATGGACATATCTTCTCATTTAGTTATTTCCTAGAAAACCTTTTACTTTGGAACTACTAAAATGCAGACTATCCATGATAGTAAAAAATTACAAAATGATTAAGATACCAAAGTACACACTGGATATTTAGAATGAAATGAAAACTCAACTGTGTCTGCTTTTAAATTGAACAGGCAGTGCAAACCTTGCAAACCAGTCCACTGTTGCTGCTGTTGTTTTAATTAGAACATTCCTCCATGTGCCATTCTTCTGCATTTCTTAGCAAAGTGCCTCATACAGGGAAGGTGCTCAAATACTGGTTGGATTGAGTCAATTCTTTTGGTATCGCTCATAAATTAATGAGGAACGTGTAACTCTGTATAGTTTCAGAGTAGTTAAAGAGAGAAAAAAAAGAAATCCTACGTAACAGAATTGGGGCTTCAGGTGTTACCTAAGACTAGAATGCTTTCCAGCAGTGCAATTAAGATATCAGCCATAGCAACCTTACCTAGGAATTCTTCACCCTAAGTTTCTTTCAAATGCAAATTAGTTTCACTTTCTCTTTCCAGCCTCCTGACCCCTGCCTGAAAGTCGCCTGCCACAAATACTACAGTAATAAGGGTTACCTAGCAAAAACTTATTTCAAACTCCATTTCAGGAAAGAAGGGGAAGGGTCAAGTCAAGGAACGTCCATAAAGGACCCATGGACAGGACCAGGAGGTGGGGCGGGAGGACTGGTTGTTGGGAAGGGAGGGCAGGGCAGGGGAGAGCAATGGGGGGGAAATGGGGGCAACTGTAATTGAACAACAATAAGAAGAGGACAAAGAGGCTTATACAGTTGACTCTTGAACTATGCAGGGGTGAGGAGCGCCAACCCACATGCAATCAAAAGTACAAGTACAACTTTCGACTCCACTCCCCCAATCTTAACTGTGAGTAGCCCAGTACTGACCGAAGCCTTACGAAACATAAACAGTGGAGTAACATTTTATGGTATATGTATTATATACTGTATTCTTACAATAAAGTAAGAGAAAAGAAAGCCTGATTAAGAAAACCATAAAGAAGAGAAATTATACTTGCACTATTGTAGTGTTTATTGAAAAACACCCCCCCATAAGTAGATCTGTGCAATTCAAACGGGTATTGTTCAAGGGTTGACTGTACCTCCTATCACACATTTCAAATTCCCCTCCATTTCCAAGTATACCTTAGATTATACATTTCTATCTGACGCAAATTGTTCCCAGTTTGCAGATAAGAAAAAGCTGAATTTCAGTCCCCCGCTCCAAATTGCCATTTCAGTTGTTATAAAATTCCCATTTATGTTTTAAAATTCTAGACCCCAGACTGACAACACAGTAGGTACCACAGTTGGGCAGAAGACTCTGGCCTTCCTCACCGCCCATCCACCCTCTTCACAGCTCTAGGCTCCTGAAGCCTCCCACCCTGGGCTTGACTTCTGAGAACGCCGGGCCTGGGCTGGGCCCGGCCGGAGGGCGCACTCAGTGGGGTCAGTAAACTGATTTCCCGCTCGGCTCCTTCCTAAACCTGGGCTAGGAGCCTCCTACACGCGAATGCCCGAACCGCCTGTGCGGTGAGGGGTTAGGAGGGAGAAGGGTGTCAAGCGGGAAGCTGCCACCACCAGGGGTTAGGGCAGGGGACGCAAACCCCTTGGTTAGCGGAGGGGCCTGCGACCCGAGGTTCACACCTTGCGCGGTAAAAACCTACGCTGCAGCCACTGAAGGGAAGGGTATAGGGGAGCTTTGCAAAGGACAGCACTTCTGCAGACTTAGCTTTAGAGAGGGCGCAGGTGTGAGCAAGTCAAGTTGGTGGATTATTGTTTTTAGGAAAGAGTGAGAACCAGAGAGAGAGAGCGCCAGAGCCGAGCAGAGCCACCAGGAAAGGCGACGACTGTCCCCGGGAGCCCCCGCGGAGGTTGGTTTGCAGTCCCGGCGGTCAGAGCTCCGCACGCTCCCGCTCCTCCCGACCTGGTGCCCAGGTTACCGGTCCCCGGCGGTCGCCCGCGCGCACTCACCGGCCCGCGCTGCCCGGGGCTGCCCTGGGCGGAGCCGCCGCCGCGCTGCGCTCCGGAGCCTCTGCCACCTCGGACGCCGTGCCGCTGCCTCCCCGCGCGGCTCTCGGAGGAGGCGCCGCACCCCCGCGAGGCCGGTAACCCAAGACCGTCCCGCCCCGCCCCGCTCCGCCTCGCGACCCCTGCAACCCTGGGGGCTCCTCTCAGCTCGCAGACCTTCTCAGGTGTGCTTGCAAACGAATCCCCGGCTCGTCCAGCTCCCACAAATTACGAAAGTGACAGTCACTGCTCATGAACCTCAAGGTGGGATTCCTCCAGCTTAGAGGTAGGAAGCAGGAGACAAATTTAGAGGTTCGAGGCTGAAGAAAGCACAATAAACAAGCGATAGTGTCCAAGTAGAAAACATCACCTATTGTTACTTAAAAAATGAACACACCCTAACATTTGTTTTCAAATATAGTCATTATGGAGACTCAGACTGGCACAGGAACATTAAAATGCTGAATGGCAATGTGCAATTCAAAGAAACTTGGACGAGCTGCCTTCTATTAACAATTGGAAATACTGTGCAACACAATGAGTGACATATTCTTTTCAAGGTTTGCGAGTTAGAATTTACAAAACTACTTAAAAAAAGTAAAGCAACAGAACATGCTATTTAGCAGAAAGGACTATAAATGGGGGAAAAACGGAGAATGTACAGAAGAAAGGGAAGGAAGAAGCGGGAGGGAGGAGCCTGTTTCATTTCTAACAACTAGGATGCAAGAAAACTCAGAGCTCAGAGTGCCCGAATGCAATAAAGCGAGGGGTAAAAATGATTTCAGCGTACAAACTCGCCTTTGTTACTGTGATTTAGCAAGGCTTACAGTTGGTTTAGGGTCATCTTTTTTCTGCTTTGTGCATTTCTGCGTGTACACACTGCAGTGAAACATGTGATGATCCAGCTATTTGGCAGCTTGTCTCAAAGCTGAAAAGCGAGGCTGGAGACACCGGGGGCGTCTGACAATGAGACCCCACCGCCCTGGGCAGAGGCCACGCATCACCCCTAGCGCTCTGGCGCTTTTACCGCTGGAAGAGCTAGAAATTTCCTCTCTGCTCCAACGGCGGCACTCTCTTCAAGGGCACCACACCATTCTGAGCGTCCTGGGCCGAGGAATTACTGATATTTGAGCATATGTGTAAAACCAGTTTTACATTTCTTCAGGCTTTCAACATCTCTGAATAAATTTTAACAGAATGGGATAAAAAGCAGGAATTGGGTTCCCTTGACGTGCATTTCTGGTATCGTTCCTTTGAAACTTGGCCTTAGCTATCTGATGAAATTATCTTGCCATAAACGTGTCCTACAGCCCAGTACTTATAATATGAATCATCTGAATGATTCACCAGTACATATGAATCATCTGGGGATCTTGTGGAAAATGCAGATTCTGATTCATAAGGTCTGGGAGATGCATTTATAACATGACCCTAGATGGTGCTGATGGGCTGTTGGAGCACTCAACTTCAGCAACACCATAGACAGGTGGACCCTGCACAACGTTTGGAAGCAGCACTCAGGTACCTAATGTAACAACAATTGTAATAGCAATGCTGATTAACATTTGTTCAGTGTTCACATGTGGTAGGCACTGTTCTAAGCACTTTACAACTGTAACCTCATATCACAACTTTGTGAGTTGGATACTATTGTTTACATTTTAGAGATGAATTTACTTTCAGTTTTAACCCCCTCTGCCTCTTACATCATTGGTGGCTTTATTTAATTTTTGAATTTGTAGAATGTTAACATGATCCCCAAAGTGAAAGCCATACATATGGCTTAGTCAGAGAAGTGTCTTTCCCGCTTTGTTCACCTATTCTACCCAGTCCCCTGGGAGTGATCAACTTCATGATTTTCTGGTTTGTTCTTTTCATGTTTTTCTTTGTAATGCTGAGCAAACATATGCTTGTGTTCTTGTTTCTCCCTTTTTTCTCACACCAGTGATGGCTGTATATGCACTTTATATTTAGATCTTTTCACTTTCTGGTACTTGATAGAAATCACTCCATATCACCTCGTGGAGATTGTCCTCTCTTTTTTCAGTCACATAGTCCTCCAATGTACCGCATAGGTTCAAACACTCGCCTATGTTTGGACATTTATGTAGTTCTCAATATTTTACAGTTACAAATGGTTTTGTAATGGATACACTTGTGCATATATATTTTCATACTTTTGGAGGTGTAAGTTTAGGGTAAATTTCTAGAAGTGGAATTGCTGTTCGCTGGGTCAAAAAGGTAAATGCATGTGTGGTTTTCTTAACTGTAATTATTGTCCTCTCCAAAAAGTTTGTCATTTTGCATTCCTATCCACAATGCATGAGGACTGTGTTCAAACCTTTTTAAGCTTGTATTGTCAGGCTTTGGAGTCTTGCCAAGTGGATGGGTGAGAAATGGTATCTCAGTGAGGTTTGACTAGCACTTTTATTGTAATAATGAAGTCGAAGATCTTTTCATATGCTTAAGGGTCATTTTTATATCTGCTTTCCTGAATTATCTACTCATGTCTTTTGCTCATTTACTAAATAGATTTTTGGCCTTTCCCCTGCCCCCTTCAATTTTACAAAGAACTCTGTAGACTGAGAATATTAGTTTTTATGCATGATACATGTAACAAGTATAGTTTCTCAAGTTCTCAATTTTATTTTGACTCAAAAACATTATTTATTTTGATAGAAAGATGTGTGTTTTTTTAAGTTTAAAAAAGATTTTATTTATTTACTTTTAGAGAGCGGGGAAGGAAGGAGAAAGAGAGGGACAAAAACATCAATGTGTGAGAGAAACACTGATCAACTGGGGACCAATCCTCAACCCAGGCATGTGCCCTGACAAGGAATCAAACAACAGCCTTTCAGTTTGTGCGACAATGCCCAACCCACTGAACCACACCTGTCAGGGCAAGACCTGTGGTCATTTAAAAAGATATATCTATCTATATCTATATCTATATCTATATCTATATCTATATCTATATCTATATCTATATCATGTATATCTATATCATCATCTATATCTATATCATCTAATCTATAGCATCTATCTATCTATCTATCTATAATCTATATCTATTTATATATTTAATTTTCACAATAGTTCCATGATGGATATTATGTCTCTCATACTGCAGATGAATAAGCAGACTCATCGAAGGACATAAGGCCATAGTTTATATCATAAACTAGGATATAAAGTTTTCGGAAGTACTTACGCATTTTAACAACTGTCAAGTTGATGGTGGAATTCAAGAGTTGGAAAATTTTAGTTTTAGTTAATAGTTAATAAGCTTAGTAATGAATGTCTGTAGAAAGCTGTTGTTTCAGGAAACGAAAATATGACCTGCCCTGATTCCAGGACCATAGGCAACTTGACCTCTATATCCCAGGAAGGACTGCAAGCAATGAGGTTGGTATCTGAGCCATTGTGTTCCAGGGAGAGACATCCCACCACCCAAGACACAGATCACCAGTCAACAGATGAAAGAATGCTAGGGAAATTGCTGAACTACAGCTTTTTTCTCATTAAGCTTTTTCCTGAGTTCTAAATCCTTTACTTACACTTTCTTTTCATGAATTCCAAACCCCTTACCTACATTTTTCTTCTTTGTAAAAATACTGGCTAGAAATAAAATGTAAGACTGTCTTTTTAGGGTACATAACACACCATCTTATCAGATCACCTGCAGTCTGAATAAAGCACCCATAAAAATTCAATCCTTGTCTCTACTTATTGGTTCTGGTGGTGACAGGTAGCATGAACACTGAATTTTCAGGTTTCAACATTTTCAAATACTGCATGGCAGACATTGAGGTCAGAAAAGTAAACTGCCTTTATGGAATTTACAACAGTCCTCTACCTTTTGGATGTACCATGTAGTGTAGGGGAGGAGATGACAGAATTTGATTAGATAATTACTTTAATAAAAGCATAACTACAAACTTGGGTAAATGATCTAAAGACAAAAGAAGTCTAGATGACATTTCACAATGAGGCCAAGATGGAGGCATAGGTAGATACACTTTGCCTCCTTACACAACCAAAAAAAGGACAACAACAAATGTAAAAATAAAACACAACCAGAACTGCCAGGAAATGGAACTGTATGGAACTCTGATAACCAAGGAGTTAAAGAAGAAACATTCATCCAGACTGATAGGAGGGGCAGAGATGGGCAGTTAGGGCAGAGAAGGCTCCCAGCAAGGTGGTGGTTGGAGGATGGGCCGAGCAAGGCAGCGACCGGCAGATCAGATGGTCCAATGTGTGTATGTGGAACCAGGAGGAACAACTGGGGAGCGAGGCAGACCACACAACCCAGGTTTCTAGCTCAGGTAAATAAAGCCTTAAAACCTCCAGCTGTAAAAACCTGTGGGGGTTGTGGTGGTAGGGGAAACTTACGGCTTCACAGGAGAGTTCATTGGAGAGACCCACATGGTCCTAGAATGAACACAAAACCACACACCTGGGAATCAGCACCAGAAGGGCTCAATTTGATTGTGGGTAGCAGGGGAAGAATGACTGAAAGTGGGCAAGAGCTGAGCAAATGGCATCGTTCCCTCTCGGACCCTTCTCCCACATACAGTGCCACAACACAGCAAAGTCTCACTCTGTCGAATACCTGATAATGTAACAGATGCTCCAAGACAAAGAAATATGGCCCAATGAAAGAACAGATCAAAGCTATAAATACAGAACTAAGTGATGAAGAGACAGCCAACCTATTAGAAGCACAGTTCAAAACACTGGTAATCAGGATGCTCACAGAATTGGTTGAGTATGGTCACAAAATAGAGGAAGAAGTGAAGGCTATGCAAAGCAAAATAAAGAAAAATATACAGGGAACCAGCAGTGAAGGGAAGGAAACTGGGATTCAAACCACTGATTTAGAGCAGAAGAAAGAAATAAACATTCAACCAGAACAGAATGAAGAAGCAAGAATTCAAAAAAATGAGGAGAGGCTTAGGAACCTCCAGGACAACTTTAAATGCTCCAACATCTGAATCATAGTGCTGCCAGGAGAAGAGGAAGAGCAAGAAATTGAAAACTCATTTGA